AACTAACTGACGATTCCGGCGAAACGTTTGGGAATGTTCCACGTCCACGGTTCAACTTTGGAAATGATCATGCAGACAATGGACCGAGGTGCGTTCCAATAAGTCTTCCTACCAAATATGACCGAGTTGCGAAAACAAGGTAGAACAACCTTTATGTGCCTATAATTCGCTTTTCCTGGTTTCTTAGCCGGAAAAAGGCTTAGCAATTGTTGATTGTGGGGTTGAACACAGGATCATGTTCTGTGTGAGGGCTGTCGCTTGTGCGTCATTCAACTGCTTCGGGACCGAGCATCCTCGATCTGGTGCAAGCCCGACTTGACCTTGTCACGCAGATCATCTCCAGCCGGACTGCCGTCTCAAACCTGACGGGATTCGAGCCAGGCGCCTCGAGCCCTCCTGCGTGGATGGGCCAAGCCGAGTCCCCCTCATCCCGTCGATGGGAATGTACCGGCCGCCCGCACGAGGCTCCAGACATGTCAGTTGCCCTGGCGACCTTTCCTTGACCTACTTTTCTTAGACATACAACAACTCATTTGGCCGGTAACCTCTAAGCTTTGCGCACCACAATTGCCGGCTTCACAAGTCTTGTGGAAAGGATTCTAGCCACCAACCAGTCAGAACAGGGCAACATCAGCATCAGCAGCATCACCTACGCTCTTGCCATTGCCAGTGTTGCCACGCTTGCGTGCATGTGTACATCCATTCTTTTCTTCCTTTCTATATTTATTTATTTACTCATTCCTTAGTTCAGTATTGCATTGATTCCTTAGTTAATTAATTTATTCATTCATTCATTCAATCAATCAAGCATTTCTATAATCATTTCTTTACTCATTACTTCCTTAACTCTTTTGTCCATCAATGCATTAATTCAATTAATCATTTCTTTATTACTGTCTTCACTAATTCCTTCATTAATTCATCAATTAACTAATTCATTAATTCATTAATCAATCAGTTAATTCTTTCATTCATTCACAATTTGTTGGTTGTGTACCCACGCTCCGACGGACAGGAGCAATGGGCAAAGTAAACCTTTTATAATGCATAAATCATTCCATACACAACCTGGCTCACACAAAACGTTGTGCAGCCTCTTTCGTGTGCTATGCTTATCTCTCAGCGGACATATTTTAATCATGAATTATGAGTCGTGTCTTGCCCGGCTCCACCATTAATATGTTGTTGAACTAATGCAATTGATTTCCGGCGGTTAGGGCTTTCTTTCTGCACCAACGGTCATGCCGTTGCCATGGCACCGGATAATGCTGTTTTAGCTCGTTACTATCTTCTTGGTTCGCATGTCAATCAATCCAGAGGCCGAAGCGTCCCCGAGCAGAAGTTATGCTTGGCGTAAATGCTTTAATTTATGACAATTCTGGTTGTTTTTGGTACGCGTCGATTCTAATCAGCTGGAACCGAAAAGAGATTTATGTGCCCAGGCTGCGTTAATTTCAGCTCATTCAAAGCGATCCAGCCAGACCGCAGCTGAGACCGCTCGCTCGGGCCTCGGTCAGAGACACCGTTCGGGGGTTCGCACAAGGGCTCTCCGTCTTGCCGGGCTGGTGATAACACGAATGAGCGGTAATCACTCTATCCCTTCCCTTTCCTCTCCCCTTCACATACACGCACATATATGCACACACACACACACACACACACAAACGCACGATGGAAGTCAGTAGCAGCCGAGCTCACGAGCTGGGCGAGAGCTGCGTGTTCACTAGTCTGAAGCCCGACTCGAGCGGACACAACTCCAAAGAGGGTTGGGTGCTCCAAGGCGATAGGAAAGGTCGATGTGGAAGCATCCAGAGCCGAAGATTCCCGAGCTTATGAGCCAATTGTGGAAAGCCCAACGAGCCAAGGATCGAGGTCAGACGTGCGCATAATCATACTCGTACGCATAAGCGTATCAAGTTCCATATGCATACACATATTCACAATTAGATTTAAATTCATACTCTTATTCAAATTTGTATAATCAGTCATATGCATGTACCCATTCGTACTCATATTCATGCATGAATATGAACTTCGAACTCTGACTCATAAATGTAATCATATTCATATTAAAGTTTAAATTTATTTTCTGAATGAGATTTAGATTTGGATTCATATTCAAAATCATATTCATTTTTTATTTTCATACTTTTTCTTATAATCCTATTCCTTTTCTTATTCATACTCATAATTATAGTCATGGTCATACAAATATTGATATTCATAGTATATTCACGATAGACACACAATTTGATCGAATTTCACCTTGCACTTCACTCCTCTGTTTCGATTCCCGTTGGGGCTGCGGATTAGACACACAAGTTGAAACTGGGATGAGGAATACCTTTTGGGAGACGAGACCAAGTGAGAGTGAATGGCATTGCGAGGCCTACTCATTCCATTGCGGCAACCCTCGACTATTGGTTCTTCATCACTGTATGCGATCAAGGCTGGCCGCAGTTGCTGTTCAAGATGGGACCTGGACGACCGATCCGGATTGCGAGGATCGAAATCGGGCAATGCT